AATTCCGGGGCTTCAAGTGGCAAAACATGGTTTTGGAGCATCTTTGGAGCAACAAAAAAGCAATTTTGGAGCAGCAAAACAAAGATTTGGAGCATAGTTAATAAATAGAATTAAAACAAGAATTTTTAATTTTGTTCACTAATAACATATCATATTTTTTACACTTTTTTGAAGGTCCCTGCATTAATAAATTAAGTTTCTTTTTGGTACCTTCCAATGCTGTTAAATATTCTGCTATCCTCGACTTAGCCTCAGATAAGAGGATCTGTCCGCTTTCTATAACCGATATGTCTTTATTATTTTACCCATCTTTAATATTTTTTTCAGCTGCGACTAAGAGATCCCGAGAAGCCTTCAATTCTTTTTTTTACATATAAATTTCAGCAGCTTTCAATCTGCTTTCCTCAGTCTCGAGCTTTTCGCTTTTTTCTTTCCTTTTTTCTCAACCTCTAATCGAGCAGAATAATTTTTAAATGCTACACGAACAACTTTAATCATATCTTTGTCAACTTTAAAGTTATTTAAACCCTTATTTTGTTGATATATGATACAACTTCTCTCAAACCATTCACACTATGCAAGTTTAAACTTGCCTTATTGTCAAATAGCTTTTTGTTCACACTTAAACCTCTTTCAATATCGGCACTCCCATGTGGTACGCACAAAAGAGCTATGTTATATGAGGATATTCGATATTTCCCAAAATTATCTTTCTTCACAAAATAGTTTTTCCAAAACACATCAATCTGTGCATATTCATTTGAGTCAGAAGAATAACTTTCTGGTTCCCCATGTAACCTTGTCCCTTCATCTAGTAACAAAGATGCCTCTCCAGGCTTTATAATGGATGGGGTTACTATTGCCAGATATCTTATTGACTTAATAGAAGTTTCTTCCATTCTCATTACAGGATTCAACACTTTAAGATGGTACAGTAACCTATTTTTAAGAGGCAATACTTTTAATAAATTTTTTGAGCATGCCAAGTAAAAGTAGTAAATACATAATTTTTTTCAGAAGGATGTCATCGCCTTTGTGGTATCTAGTCCAACATCTATTAAATTTTAATTTTGCCAAATTTTTGCGTTTTCTACATCCAATGATTTTAAGTCCTTTCCCGAGAAACATGAAAAGCAGAACTCTTCAAAAAACGCCCTAACAATGCTTTAACTAGGAACACCATTTCATCATACAGCAAGTGAATCAATGGTGTTTCAGTTTGGAAAAGACCTAAAAATTTATTTAATATTGCCGAAATATTTCTTTAAAAAAAAAAGAGCTTTTGGCAAAAGAAATTTAAATAAATTCAATATTGAGTGGCTCATACTATTTTTTAAATTAATAATTACTTTATTTAATTCTGTAAAAGGTAATTCAAAACTCTAATTAATTTAACTATTATTTAAGGTTATCGAGTGTAATTTTATTAAAATTTAAATAAATGTTATTTGTAATAGTATATTCAACACAACATTAACAAGATTAATATTGATCATACCAAATTTATAAAAATATGTAAAGAATTAAGCAAATTAAGAAAACTTTAATAAATTTATATTACAAATGTAAATTAGTGAATGGCCCCTAATAAATTTTTATTAAAATTGGTTACTTATAAAGTACTGCATTAATGAAATGATTAAAAAAAATTAAATAATTTTTAAATGCAAATACAATGAGTATTGAAGCTAAAAAAATTTTGTCAGAAGTAAATTATTATATTGTCCCTACACTCATAATATTTAACAAATCTGTGATAATTAAAATTTTTTATATCAATTGTTTTAAATCAAATCATTAAGAGATGAATTAAAGTATTTTTGAATGACAAATCTGAAAAACATAAGATTTTTTGCTGCATTTAAAATATTGAAAGCCCCTCTCTTCATACTTATTTAAAATCTTGCCTCTAAATATTATTAAGTTATTTCCTAAAACAAAATAAGAGCACTGAAAATTTTGAAGGTAATAATACAACAATAAAATGCAATAAGTAAAAAAAAAATTAGTAAAAACAATAAATAAAGTAAAATAATTATTTAAAAACAATATGCAATTAGTGGAAGGTCCCTCAGATAAAAAATTTATGTTATGAAACTCAATTAATTCTTATCTTTATTAAATGAAATGAATAAAAGGGAGATGGAAAGTTTGAAGTTATGAAGCTTTGTAATTCTTGACTGTTCTGAGGATCAACTTGAAAATATGTACTCAGTGGATGGTCCCCTAGTTAATTCAAAGATCATGGTACTAATCTATAAATAGAATAGTGCAAGAAGGCCATTAGCTTGCTATTGACGAAGACGATGGCACTTCAATAACGATGAAATCAACAAGAGATAAATTTTTTTATGCTATTAAAATTTGGCAATGTTTAGTTGGTCCCCGAAAATTTTTTGGCACAGATTCGACGCAAATTTAACATAAAATGTCGTTTCTGCGCAGTAATGCGCAAATATACCGGTTTGGCGCAAAATGCGCAGCACTTGATGCCCTGCAATTCTCTTTGTCGAGGTTGTCATCTTGAAGAAGAGACATCACGACACATACTCTGTGATTGTGAGGTCTATTCTGCTCAAAGATTTGAGCATTTAGGGCAACATTGTGTCAATGCCTGGGAACTGCAAGACGTTCCTGTAAGGTGTCTGCTGAATTTCATCTCAGCTATAGGGCTTTCATGCTAATCATGGGGTTCGGGTACAATAGACCTCTGGTCAACGTGCCTTGCTTGCCAGAGCTGCCCAATCTTTAAATCTTTTTATCTTATAAGAAAAACCTCACGACCAATGAGGAAATTGTATTTTGTGTAATTTGTCAAAAACATATTTCTTGTGAAAAAAGAAGCACCAGATCGATCAACATATAAAAACTAATGTTCACTCCGCTAAGAAAAAACAGAATACAAAAGGATTTGTTCAAAGTTTATAATCATTCATATTCAAGCAGCTAAAAAGGAAAGTGATTTGTGAAAAGCCTTAGTAAGCAGCAATATTTCTTTAAAAATGTTATATAATCTAAACTTAAGGTAGTTTTTTTAAAAAAAAAAATATTGTACCAGGCAGAACATTCCTGATGAAGACTAAGAAAGAACTACCTGTAACCAATATATAACGAAATATTAGATGATATTTGACAAGATACCGGTAACGGAGATGGCTCTATATGGAATGAAGTCTATGAGATGACAGGTAAGTTTGGTTGCTACATTGCTAATTTTATTTGTGGAAAGATGGACGATGTTTCTACTTAATCACATCTTCTAGCTAGCAAAGCTCTTGAAAAAGTCAATCATTCAACCATAGCAAGGTTTGTTAATGACTCCATCAGATTAATATGGTCTGATAGAGATGGTTTTGAAGATATTTTAACTTTTCTCAATGATTCCCCTATAGGATCAAATCTGTAGCAGAACTGTGAATTTTCAATCCCAGAAAACTGCACATTACATATTTAGCAAACGCTGTTCACACGGTGGCCAAGACTGTTTGAGAAGTATTCTCCTCAGTAAATGTTTTTAAGGCTTTTGTACACATAAAATTGTATAGGAAATATATCCCAATTTGCCTTACTTCTCTAGCGTGATAACCAGGTAGGGTACATGGCTGCAAGTTTTTACGCAAATAATTTTGATACAATCAAATCAGTTGTGGATGTTTTTTAAGTGCTTTTTCGGTTTATGCTGCAAATGAATTACTAGGATCTCTTTGCAAAAGAACTCGGCAATAATTGAAACTCACTTTTTCGTTTTTAAGTAGAGCAATAAAGCTTGAAACAGGCATTCAACTAGCTGAAGCCACATTTGAAGTTGAAAGAATTCAACAATGCATCAGTGCTCTTCCAGACTCAGTTGAAAAGGAAAATGGCGTTTCATTCACCATTTCCTTTTCAACAAAATACGGAAACAAAAATACAGGTTTTGAAGCAGTGAAGATAAATGATGTTCTCAATGGAAATGAACTTCCTGACAAAGTGAAATCAATGAGTACAAAATTTTACAAATTTTGCACAATAATGTCTGTTGACATGGAAAGATCATTTTCTACTTTTAAAATGATCTTTGATGGCACACAACATCAGTATTCTATTGAGAATTGAAGAACATTTAGTTGTGCATTGTAACAAAAATTATTCAATTTAGTAAAATCTGCCTGGAAAATGCAATGATTTTTTTTTCCTCACTCATCATACTGTTATTTTAACCTTTTTTTAAAATCAGAATTATGCAGATTCTGGTAAGAAATATTACATTCCAATTAGCAAAAAATCTGTTTCAACTGTGTTTTGTAAGGGAAAGCTAAGTAGTAGTAGTATTTAAATAAGTTTGAACTTTGAATTTTAAATGCATATTTCTAGTTTTTAGTGCATATTTTGCTCTTTTTTAATGCATATAATCCACTATCCAGTAATAACTTTCACGGAGGATCGATTTTTCAAGTTATTGATTTCTCAAAACCAAATAATCCACAAACTGCAACAGATGACAAACCAATCATTTTTGTGAAAAATGGACATTAATTGTTTTTTCCTTCTTGGTTGTTAGGACCATTGAAATGGGCAAATGAGGACAATTAAGTGCACTAATACCAACAAAATTACAAATAATATAATTTAGACAAAATAAATAAAATAGTTACCAAAGATAACATTCATATTCTTAACTTCATACAGTTTAAAAACATAAATATTGGATCTGATAATTATTTAGTACATATAATATCTTCATGAAAAAAATTTTATTGAAAAAAAAAAGACATGAACAAGAAACCTCAAGTTGATAACAATGGTCAAAAATTGCGAGTGAACCAGTACTTTTTTTATATTTCTAGGGGCAATTAACAATAAAAATAAATGTGCACTTTTAAAAATACTCCTCGTCATATGAAATCTTCTCATTTATTTTATTTTGCATTATTAGAATATTCACCCAGAAATAGAGACAAAGGCTTTGTTTTTTAGCTTAGTTCTAAAGAAAAAGCATTTTATAAAAATTAAACCCATACCTCTAATGCTTCTTTGGTTATAATAGCTTTCTCTAGCGCTGTAATAACTTCCAGCACTGCAGCCATATCCACAACCTACAATATTTGACAGACAGTATGATTAATAATAATTATCAAATAAAAAAAAATCTGTTAGAAACAATGAATAGTGAAATCAATGGGTATTAATACCGGTAGATTAAATAAAGAGAATTATTATTCACATAAAATATATAGGCAGCGTATATTTTGATTTGCTACACACTATTGCCATAACTTAACAGACAGTTGCCCACTAAGCATGCCATAGAGGTAATTGTAGTAGATTACTCTATTATGGCAGGTAGTAGAACAGTTTTTACACCTCTTATTATAGTCAATCTATATTATTAGTCTATATTTATTATTATAGTCAATCTCGGCATAACCAGGGTGTTCCAAAAGATGATCATTATAATATGAGGTTGCTGTATTATTGAGAGCACAAGTAAACCATCAATATTTACATGATGAAAAAGGTTAACATTTATTTGGACAAAACAATGCTACACATTGATAAAAATTTTGAAACTAACAGACTAAATATTAATAACCAGGGTTGGGTTTTTGACGTCAAAAAGCGGTTTTTGACATGACAAGGGTATAATACTGGTTTAAACCGTCAAAAACTGAAGTTTGCCAAGAAAATATATAAACTTCAAAACTACCAACAGTTACCATGCATTATATTGAAATTTAATTATACTATAGGTAATCAGCAGGTTTTAAAATATTTTTTAAAAATTAAGGTAAAATAACAGATTTAAAAATCTCAGAAATTTATATTCAAATGCATGTGCAGAAAAATTATGCACAAAAATTGTTTAAATATTTCTATTTTGAAAAAAGTTTTTTTTTTTTTTTTGATATTTAAGAAAATTAAAATTTTATTACTATGCATTTTTGACACATAAGGAACATATAACTAATATTTATAAGGAACTTACAAGTTATGTTGTATAAATACAAACTTGATATAAGATACAAGTGTATAAAAATTTTTTTTTAATGTTATACCGAATATCTTTATTATCCAGTATGTTAATTTGAATTTAAAAGTAGTTATATTTATGAATAATGATAAATATAATTCATATTGTTTATTATATTTATTTATAATTATTACACTTATCATTTTAAAACAATTTTTATCTCTTAATTTTTTTTTCTCCACTTGTATTAAGAATACAAATAATGCATATCTTGAAAGCAAGAAGTAATTATTCAACAGCTGAATATTTAGATATTCAACAAAACTATATAGTATTCAGCAAAATGAAATTCACAAGTATTTGGATAAACTAAATTTTCAGCATAGTAAATGAATAGGCTGAATATACTGTAAATCGACACTAACTACTCTGTGTATTTAACAGAAAGCACTTAAATTTGTATTGTCTTATGTTAACTATGAATTTAAAAAAATTGAAGATTTAAAATTCAGAATTACTGATTTTTCTGAAAAACTAACAACCAATCACAAAAGTCAAACTAAACAGAAGAACATTACAGTCACTGATCCATGAAATAATTAAACAAATTATTATGGACACTTTTTAATTATCCTAATTAAATACATAATTTTAAAACTTAGAACATGCATCACACTACATAATCAAAATGAAAATGATGGAAGTAGAAATTTAATTCAAAATTCAATAGTCTAGTTCATTTGCTCCTCACAGCATATGGTAGCACATAACTAGTTTTGAACATTTTTCTGTTCCTAATCTATTACGAAGTTTCGAATGAATTAGTCCAAAACTGGAAAACATCCGTTCTATTGAAGCAGAACTGGTTGAAAGTTGAGAGTTAACAGAGTTGAAAGTTAAATTATAAAAAAAGTTCTTTTCAGGGTATCTGCTACATTTTAGATTTTCAAATTCATGATTTTCCATGACTAATTCTCAGAATTTTTCATGACTTAACAAAGTTACTATTTTCTCTGACAAAAACACAAGAAATTTAAAAAAGCATTATAATAACACGAATTGAAATGATAGGTATAACCAAAACTGTTATATTCTGCATCGTCATATTTAAAGATATTAAATTTAAAAAAACAGAGTAAAGAAAGAGTTGAAGCAATAAAATAGCCGAAAAAAATACAAAAGCAAGTAATTGTTTTTCCTCAGAATTATATTCTTAAGATACTTTTCTTGTTCGTCCGAAAGGAAAGAAATACTCCTGACTTTTCTGTTCTCGTTTCGGAACTTAAAAAAATTCGCCAATGACTGGCTTGCTTCAGCTAGAATTTTAAATTGATAAAATCAAAAATAAATAACAAAAATTTTGAAATCACAGAAGTTTAAAAGATAATTCGCTCTAGAAATGATGCTTTTTCTTTTATTTAAAACATGATAAAAACATTTTACATTTTAATAAAATGGATTTAATGTGGATTACAATTTATTACAAATTCAGATATTCGGAAAACTATGAAATGGGAGGGTATTTTTAAATTCCATTTTAAAAATTAGATTTTTTGGTGACCTAAAACCATGACTTTCCACGATTTTCTTTAAAAAATATAGTTAAAATCATGACAAATTTTGTTCAAAACTGAAATTCATGCCTTTCCAGGTGCGCAGATACCCTGTCTTTTAGAAAAAACTAAGCATCTCAAACAAACCTCTCATTTTTTAAAGCTAATTTTTATGATAATTAAACGGAAACTTAAACAAAAAACAATTGTTTATTTCAAATAGTTCTATCATACACAATTAATACATTTGTTTTTACTCATACTTATATCAGTAGGGATCATTTCTTTTGACGCTTTTTTATTCATCTACATAGTTTTCACGAAGCCGACAGTTTCACATCAAGGAAATGACACTGACTAAAATTAAAATTGTTTGCGAAAAGTCATGTACCTGTAACATTTTGTAGTCAATGGAGGTAAACTATAAGAACGACCAACCTCCATTAATGACCATTTCACTGTGGAACAGAGACTGGTCGTTCCAGAGAGGTTTCATTGCATGTGTATAAAATAAATTAAGATGAGCAAATTTAATGTTCAATCATAAAAATTACTTAGAATAAAACAAATCAATTTTTATGTTCCAATGAGGTTCTATTATGAATTTTATATTTAATTTTTTAGTTTACTTCTAATTTTTTTCTTCTTTCAGCCATGTAAACCAAGCTTTCTATCTATAGAAAGAAGCCCCCTAGCCACTCGCCTGAGGCAGTGACTATGGTTACGAGGTTTAACTATTTAAGTAGGATTGTTAGATCAACATTTGAGACAGGTTTTTGGGTGAGTTGACAAGCTTTCCTCTTTAAAATGCATGGTTTCCATAGCAGCAGACAGCTTTAGACTATGAGGCAAAGGGAACTCTTTCTATAGACTAACTATACATGCATGTTATTTATGATTCTAGTGTTTTCTAAACACAATGTTTATGTAAAAAAAAAAAAAAATACTATTCAAAATTCTTTTAAAATATTATCAACATATTATTTTATTAAATGCTACATTAGAAGCATATTGAAAAGCTAGAAGCTTTATATTGTTAAAAATATCAGAAAAGTAATTCATTATCATTAGAACTAAAATATACCCTTACATATATATATATATGTATGCACTCAATTAAGCTTTAACCATCAAATATTTTTCAACTATAAAAATATATCACCTTCAATTTTGATTTGATTCAATTGAAGAAAAAAGTGCATTTTATAAAGTAGATTGATATTTCGGTTATTTATCGTTACTTATATTGTTAAGTTATAGTACCCACATAGTTAAGTTATAATAGATATTTTCGTACATTGACAAGCAGAGAGAAAATTACTCTTTCACATGCATTACTAATACAAAAAAAAATGCGGCCCAAAGAACTTGTATCCTTCAATGGATACCAGCACATGTTGATATCGATGGTAATGAGAAAGCTGATGTCCTGGCCAAGGAGGCCAGAGATAACTCCCAATTTTTCAACAGCCTGACCCTAACTGATGCAATAGCCAGTCGCAGATTACTTTCTACTACTTCTCTGAAGCACTCCATCCCTGCCCTAAACTGTGATCGAGTCATTTCCAAAACCATAGCTAGATCGAGGACTAAACACTTCAGGGGAATGAAAATATCTCCAGATGGCCATCGAAGCTACAGAAGTTGTCCTCACTGCGTCGACACAGAACTCTCTCCCTACCATGTCTTTGATTGCCCAGCCATACTGGCAAAGCTAGTCAGGATTCACCTGGATCCCCCACAGCAACTCCTCTACTCCATGGATTTTTTGATGTGGCCAAAGCTGTTTTAGATACTTTTGGACAAATTTAATTTTCTTCGCACTACTGGATAAGAGAACAACAACAAATACAAATATCTAAATTTTTAATTGCATATTAAGTGAAATTGTAAAGTAATATATATATATACCCAATCAAAATCTTCATTTATTCTTTTTTGACACATTAGCATAGTTAAGCAAAAGAGCTAATTTTTTCACTAAAACTAAACTCAGCGGCGTGACAGCCCATACAGGGCCAAGGCCTACTGTGCCCATCTCAGTTTTCTTGACCTTGGGCTCTGGGGTGCAGATGTTCCGGTTAGGTGGTCAGCCGAACGCGAAACCCCCAGTGTTTAGTTCCCAAGCATGCTTGGTACTCATTTATCGACCCACTGAAGGGATGAAAGGCTGAGTCAACCTTGCCCGGCCCGAGGTTCGAACCAGGGACCTGTGGCACAACAGCACTACCGCTCAGCCATCGGGAGTCGTTTTCACTATTTACTCAAAATATAATTTAATAGCTGATAAAGTCTTTCTGAAACTTTTTGCTTACATTTTAATATTGGTAATAAATTTTATTTTTTGTTTAAAAAAACCACAAAAAAAAAATAAATAAATAAATAAATAAAAAAAAAAGATTTAACCCCCCCCTTAAAAAAAACAACAACTGGTTCTTGGATTTTTGATAAAATTCTGTTTTTTTTTCTTTCCCAAACCTTGAACTATATAAAGTCTCAAAAATATTTTGGACTAAAATCAATCCATAAAATTTTTTATTCATGTACAATAAATCCCTTGATAATACAATCGGATGTGTCACGATATGAATCCTGTGATAGCACTTCACTTATTTCTTGTTTCATTTAAACGTTTTTTAAATTTTGGTATGCTTGCAATTGTTGCAGTGATTGAAATTGCATGCCGTGATATTAATTTCTGACAAAAGCCAGCAGAACTTTTGTAATTATATAACGTCTTCCCGAGGAACATTACATATTCTTCTGAGCATAATGCCATCATGCTGTTGACAGATTGATTTACACGATTTATAAAACACTAAGGTAGAAATATTTAAAATTTTTACACATTCTTTCAATAAAATAAAACACTTATCAGTTAGAAAACAATTTTAATATACTTGAGTAAATATAAATACTATCTTTTGTTACCAAGATAAATTCTAGAATCATACCTGTTTCAAAAATATAATGTTCAAAGAAAGATCCTTAAGTTTACAATATTTTAATAAAATTATGACTTCTTTGTTATAAATTTAGAGGTTTGGTCAACAAAGTTAACTTTTATAAAACTTTCTTAATTTTAATTAAGAAGCAAGGATTACTTATAAACCAGATGAGACATTCAGCCCCTGGGCAACAAGTTATGCATTTTTTCAAAATACAATATAAAATCCTTTATCAGTACATTATGTAAATGTGTTTAAAAAATGGGAAACCTATTATCTTTATTGTAGTGTTATGTTTATAATCAAATAGGTTATAGCACACCCAGAAGCAGTTTCACAACTTATGCTCAGCAATAAAATTTGATTAAAAATGTTTAGTAGATACAATTAGATTACAATCAAATACTATTTTTATAAAATTATAAATTAAATTTCTTTAGTAACTAAATTTATAAAAATTAGAAATTTCCCCAATCAATGGATAGAAAAATTAATAACCTCAATAATATTTTCTACCCTTCTTAGTTACTTAAGACTAAATCTTAAATTCACTAAAAGGGAAGCTTCTGATATCTATGTTTGGCCAACACTAATATCTTTTCCTATTTATAACAACTTAATAACAGAAGTACAATAATTTATAGTACTTAAAATTTGGAATTTCTTCATAACAATGACTTATTTAACAAGTTTTATTCAATGGAGTTGGAAAAAAATATTTTTTCAACTCGGGTTCATATCAAAACTGAAGAATTTGACATGAAAATTTGTTTTCAAGCTACATGTATCAGGTAGTTCTCAAAGGCTTTGGATATTGTTCAGAAAAGCAAAAACTTTCAACCAATTTGTGCATATTTACAGATAATTTTAAATATAAAAGTTTTTGCTATTCTTCATTAGCAAATACCCAAACCTTTGAAAACTACCTGTTTTTTTTTATTATAAGTATGTTACTATTTTGTTATAAAAACACAGACCATAAAAGCATTTTATCTTTTATCAATTGCTGGTCCAGAAGACCACTGAGCAAAGCCACAGACCAGTCAACTAGATGATCAAAATTTTAAAATTAACATTTTTAAACAATTTAGGTGTCATCTTAGAAATAAAGAACTGAAAATTTAGAAATAACTCTTAATTATATAAGTTTTTAATAAGCTATAGGCTGTAAAACAAAAGTCTACATCATTTCAAAATCTTAACCATGGTAAGTGAATCTTTAACAAATGCAGTTTCTCTGAAAAATTCACACTAATAATAAAAAATGGAATAATAATTAAAAGTAAACTTTATCAAGACAGATTATCTTGCATATATATGCAGAAACATTACACAGCCTGATATAATAAAAAAATTCCCTAGATGCACTTTTGATATTTTACATACACCAAAATTAATAACTGAACAGTGCCACTAAATATATTTTTTCTGTTTAAAGCAAGATTCTATATCTTATCTGTATAATCTATTCTGATTTTGAAAATAATGAACATTTTTATTGTAAATTAATGATTTTTTTATATTTTACATCTGACACCATTGCTTTTCTTTCCATTACTTCAGTTTTCATCTATTTTCATCTTATATTTTGCTTTTACTTGTTAATCCAGAATAATTTATTTAACCACAGTATCCTAATAAAATATGCTTAACTACGCTGTACTAAAATTTTATTTTTATTATCAACTTTAAACTCATAAAATAAATATTTAATTATTTTTAGATTTCTTGAGATAAGCTACTTAATTAAAATTTTTTGTGAAGCTATTCAACTCTACTTAGAACATTTCAAAATTATAATTTTGCTTAGAATATTCTGTTTAAAGGTATGTATAAATATTTAAAATTTAAGCTAACGCTTCTTTTCATCATAGATTTTCTTGTAAAATTAAGAACTAGAAAATATTTCTTTTTCAAGTCTCAAATCATGTAATAATGGAATTATTTGGCAAGTTTTCTGTTTAAAACTTAAATCTTTATATTATTATCTAAATAACTAATATTTTTTAACATTCAAATAGCGATAAATGATAATAAGGATTTAAAGATCTGAACTGTGTTTTTTGTACTTTTAGAAATGCCTCTAACAAGTAAAAATAAAAAGGCATATCATTGTGCAAAGATTGCAGCAGATCCTCAAAGCAGAGAAAAGTATCAAATCTGAGGAGGGAAAGAAAGAAAAATTAAAAGCAGTTAATGAATGAAAATGAAATAAAGGAATTCACAGCAAAAGAAAGTGTATGTATTTTGTCAATATATAGAAGAAAAAGAAAGTCGAATAAGTAAATCCTCTGTAGACAAGCTAGATCCAAGAAATTCAATTAAAATAGCATTCAAATCCAAACAATTATTTAAAACAGTCAATAAAGTGACTAATAATCTTCTTAAGTCACTATACAAAAGAAATGCAGCTGTAAAATAATCAGTAATTAAATATGGTCTTGAATTACCCAATATTATATATAAAAAGAATCCAAGCAATGTTTAAAGGAAGAGAGCAAATTTACCATAGAAGAATTTGGCACAGTGATGGCATTTCTTGGGCAGGCACCTGGCAAAATAGGATAATTATTCAAAGTTTTTTCGGGTGGTACAATTACTCCTATGTTATACGTTGATGAAGTCAATAAGAAAAGTTTTTGCTTAGTTTAAAGAAGTTAACTTTCAAATAAAAATTGGCTTATCAAATTTTGCTGAATTAATACCAGAGCACATTAAGGTATTTGAAAAAATATTTCAAAATTTCTGTGTTTGCTCTGAGAACATGCGATTTAAGCATTAAAACAAAACACCAAACTCTCCAATGAATTTTCAACTTTTATCAATAAAATTGTATGTGATTTAACATCACAAATTTGCATGTCTCTACAATGAAAATTGCAACAAGTATATATTAAACTTCCAACCCAACGGTGATGTGGAAAATTAATCAATAACTTATATCCAATGGCAAAAATTTGAGCAACAAGCCAAAATACAAATAGTATCCTCAGTGAAAGAAGTGTTTGAAGTCCACTTGGGAAACCAAAATGTTTTCTGATTAACACATTTGTTAATAGAAATCAATCAAGGGTCTTTGATCAATAAAATCAACTAAACAGAAAAAAATTTAGTTATTCAGTTCAGTTAGATTTCTCTCAAAATGCAATCCTACTACATCAAAATGGAATTCAATAGACTCATTAAAATAATTCGCAAACAACTTTGTTCACAGCTTGTGCGTGGTTAAGTAAAAGTGAATCAGATTTCGCGGACCACACAAAAACACTTATTTATAAATTATATTTTCCCCTTCTTATAGCAAAACATTTTAAGAGGAAGTCATTAAACGTATTTTCAGACAGGCCAAGTTCCCAATGTAAGCAGTGGTATTCGTTTCCCAGTTTGATTTTACTTGAAAAGTTGAAACCGAAAATAGAAGAAAATATAAATTCAAATAAGCTATTTAATGGAAAATATATTGTACATATTCATTAAGATAGGTTTCAATAATTATAGTTATCAATTAAAACTTACATGCAACCTGAAGAACTTACATCAGACACCATAGTAAAAAATTACAAACTAACTATGCATTTTATTTTACTAAGCAAGAACGGCTCAGAATATTTTATACCAATGTCAGCTTCTAAATTGCATTAAGTTCACATTTAAATTACAAATTTAGAGTTTAGACAATTTGTAAATGAATATTTGTTTGCATTTATGTGATCTACGTTCAGACACTAACAATTTAACTTATATTAAGATTAATTCGGGTTTTACACATAAAATCTTATTTTGGATAAATCATGATGCATTACGTATTTGATAAAAAAATTTTTAATTATTGAGGATTTTTCTATGATATTTATGTTCCATTTTTGTAACCAACAAAATGGAATTGCCCCACAAATTTTTTTAATGGTGGCTTGAGTAAAATTTTAGTGGCCCAGAACCATAATTTATTTAGAGCCCTAATATATATAGCTTCTAAGCAATTAATCTCATTTTTGAGCTAAAAAACAAACTTTTGAAAATAAATGTCTTAAACTTAATTTCTTTTTTTTTAAGATTTCGCACTTAACTTTAAATATATAGCGAATTTTACAGAATGTTTTGTCTTTAAAGCATTCTCTTAATTTTAGCACTTTTCGAATATTATCATAATGAAATTTAAACCAAAATATTCAAGCTATTTTTATCAGCATAATATAATCTATATCAAAAAACTGAGACACTCCTAAAATCAAATCTATTAGATGTTTTAATAATGAATATAGCTTCTCCATAAATGACAATAGATCAATGCATTTATTATCTGTTTACAGAAGAAAAATACTTACATGTAGTGTGAAAAAGTATCAAGTTCGGGGGAATTTATCTGTTAAAATTATATGAAAAGGACAATACTACATCAAATATATATAAAAAGATACTAATAAAATGCCTTTAAAAGACAAGCATGCTAATGAGGAATATTACAATTTGGAGGAAATCCACCATTTAAAAGCAAATATTGAGCACAAATCATTAAAGAAGGATACACTATGTGCTTAAATTCAGTAAAAAAAATTTCATTAAACATGGTTTTGTAAATATTAAGGATACTGTAGATAGCAATGTACCATAACAGATAAGCAAACGAAGATATGAACATACAACGTCAACCATATAGCATTAGGGAAGAGCGATATATTACAGTAATGTAATATAAACACTTTATAAGATATTTATATTTATAAATTACATTACATGGACCATGATTAACAATAATTAGCTAAAATATAGCCTGTATAACATGCGCATGTGCTTTGACGTTTAATAAAATGTATACGTGATTTTCCTTTAGCATAGTCATTTCTTATATTACACATAGGTAAATTCGTTAACTTTGTTTCTATACAACCATTTTAGCATTGTAAATATGTATTATCGTTTTATGATTGTGAATTCGTGACACACACACAAACAAGGCAATTTTTACACGTTATGCCTAACACTATTTCGATGCAAGGAAGTATTTAATATCTCACTTCTCAATCTCATTAATATTTATTGTCGGCTTTCTGTGTTCTGTAGTTTTAACTTACATTGTATTCGTTGTCCAGAGCTTGTAATAACTTTTCTTTTATCTCGTGTGGCGTTTGCTGCATGGGCCCGCTTTTCGGAATCCCCCAATAGCTGGATGCACACCACTCTGTGCTATTTCTCTCTATGAGCTCCGAAACCTCCTAACGACATGGCGGCGGACACGAGTGGTAATGGTCTGTCGGGAAATATAATATAGTAAATGCCTGCGACAAAAAAATCGCGGTTAAGGGAAACAAACCGATATGAGAATACGGTTGCAACAGCACGTGGCACAAAACGTTCCAGGATTTAAAGATTTTTTTCATCGCTTTTAATAAAATACACATAAAAATAAACTTGTAACAATATTAAATGAGCTTATTTTGTGTTTTATGTTTGCAAGTAAAAAGGAAATTATTTAAAATACCAAATCTTGCTGGATTTTTGCTAACGGCTGGTCACGTGATTGCCGCTGAAACATGAAATTGATATTAACTATCAGAAAATAAGTTTGAGTTCAAAATTAATGGTCATGTCGGTTTGATACAAACGGGAAATTTCATTAACCCAAAGCTCCAACCAAAGCGAAAGCAATGATCCTAGATTTAGTTTAATGGCTTGAAAAAAGATCAGCTCATGTCCAAAACTAGCAATGTTGTTACCGAAAGTAACAGTTACTAAAACTGTTAATTTTTTTGTAAAGAGCTACTAGCCACAAAAACGTTAAAGAAATTCTCAAAATTGGGAGAAATTTTGTTGAATTACAAGAAAAGTGCCTCATGAGAAAAAAACATCTAACCGCGTAAACTTGCAAAAAATGTATGAACTGATCGTGCATGCGCGAATGGTTCATTCTCACTCTCTGCGATTTTATGCAAAAAGAAAATAATTATTTGCAAAAGAGAACCTAACGAGTTTTTCGTGGGTAATAAATAATTTTTCTCAATCTGTTTCTCATTTCAATGTGAAAAAGTCGCAGGCAGCGAGAATGGCCTTTAAACATTTCATATGATCATATCGTAAACCCAGCACAGATGGCGCTAGTAAGTAAAATTTATAATAAGATTGCCGGGTCACTACTCCCAATTTATTTTTACACCTAATNAAAAAAAAAAAAAAAAAAATAAAAAAAAAAAAAAAAAAAAAGGAAAAGAAAAAAAAGAACACGCTATAGTTATAGTGCTACTGTGCTTTTACTGTTCACAAGAAAATTTGTGCTATTTACTATTCAATATGTAAATTCATTTAGTCAAAGACATAAAAAGCAGAAGATGACATTCAAAATATGATAATCCTTTTTATGTTGTTATAATAATTTCTTTAAATCAATTTATGGCTCATAAGCTTTTAAAACTAATAAAATACAAAAAATCTTATGAATAGTAAAATTAAGCGCAAATTTAAATATAAATAATAAAATTTTCTACAATCATCAGCATAACCTGAGAGGAATTTATGTGGAGGGGGGGGGCAAGGCTTTTTTTTTCTAATAAGATGGTTTGTAAGGTGATGGCGCAGAGTAGAACTCTTTACTTATGACGACACTTCGCATGCTTTCACCATTAGCTTGAGGATAGTCATAGGTGAAGGAAGTAAGTTAGTTTCTGTCTTGATTTTCAAACATATTAAAGATTTTTAAATTAAGAAACTATATGGAATTCAAAACGGTATTAAACATAGCTCTTAAAAAAGCGTCATGGAAATTTTCAAAAATATTTCTGACAATTAAATGCGGAAAATATTATGGAAGGAGAAAATATCGCAGTATGGATGGAATCGGAAAATATTGCAGTTTTCAATATCAATGTAAAGAACAACAACAATCTCAAGCTCTTGACCTGCTCTTCCGAGTATACAGTAGACAGCTGCTTACTACAGCTTATTCTGAGAGACGAGATTTTCAAACAGATAATTTTGTTTTTTGTAAAAGAAGTAAATAATATAATTTCTAAGATCAAATCTGTTGTATTTCATAAGATATTAATAATTAAATTTGTTTCAGGTATTTATAAATGTATAGTTAAAAAAGGTGACATGGTTGCTAGATTAAGAAAGAACTCTCTTTTTTGGCAGTCCTGATTTGGCCTCTTTTTACTTGTTTATTGCCATTTTTGTAGCAAGCCGTGCACCACCATACGTCAGTGTTTGCGCATTATTCGAGCAGCGAGATTAAGTTCATTTTACAAATTACCCTTTAGGTTTAAATTTAGAACTTCGTATATTGTTGACAGGGTAAAGAAGTGTTTTATGGATGGTGTTTTCAGTAGAAAAGTAAACAATCTCGAGCTCGGGACCTACTCTAATTCCGGTTAAAAAGTTCGCAGCTGCTTACTACATGTTATTCTGATAGGCGATGTTTTCAAACGGATAATTTTGTTTTCAATAAAAGAAATAAATTAGATAATTTCTGATCTCAAATCTGCTGTATTTCATAAGATATTAATGTTATTATGTAATTCTGGGGAGTTTGGAGTGAAAATTTGTTTTAGTTATTTTGTTATTTATTATTAAAAAAGGTGACATGGCTGCTAGATTTTGAATAACCAAATGGCTTTAAAATACAACTGAAACAGTAACCCGGAAATTTAGGCAGTCCCGAGCTTGCAGCGTTCCCTAGTGTAGAAAACACCATCCATAACGATTCCTTTTTTTTTTATTTTTAAAAATCGAATGACGATTCCTACGTGTTGAAATGACGTATACAAGAGTATGAAAAAAAAAAACTATTTAAGAGAGTATCAAAACACAATGATCACGTTGTGAGCCATACGGTTTCAAAATATATCGGAAAAGTAACTCGGAAGAATAGGCTGTAAAGAGCTTGCAACGCTTTCTAGTGTAGAAAACACTATCCATATTCCCATGCAACTGAACAGAGGAAGAATGGGAAGAAGGAGGGTCAAGACATGGAACCAGTCTTCTCTCCCAGATGGCGTATTCGATTCTTGCGATAGCGAATATCTGTACACAGCGTTCAAAATTTCCACTCGCCAGCTAACCATTAGCGAATAAGTTTTGTCACATAAAATGTTGTGTTTTACATAAGCAACCATATTTTCCCCGGAATATAGAGAATTTGCTTTTGACTGCTGTAGTTTGATACGTAACAATAGAATGACGATAGAACGCAGAAACGTTTCAATTTCGAAGACAATAGATGATTTGTTCAGAGTCTCTATAAATGGATCCCCTCCATAGCCGAATTTGGATTTAGGGCTATATTTGACAAATGAGGTTTCAGTACTGAAAAATAGCAGTTAGCAAACAAAATGTTAAAAGTATGGAAAAATTTCGGCTTTTTCTAAATTTCTCATGTTTTCCTTTTTTTAATGATTTTTATTAATGATATGTAAATCATAATAGAACCATTAAAACTTCATGGCAACTTTATTTTAAGTTAATAGTATTAATGGTTTTTGTATCCAAAAAGTTATTCATGCTACACCTGTCTACATTTTTAAAATTGTTTTCATTTTTAGTGAAAATGGTGGCTAGTGAAAATATCAGTCCCAATATATATATATATATATAGAGAGAGATAGATAGAGAGAGAGAGAGAGAGAGAGAGAGAGAGAGAGAGAGAGAGAGAGAGAGAGAGAGAGAGAGAGAGAGAGAGAGAGAGAGAGAGAGAGAGAGAGAGAGAGAGAGAGAGAGAGAGAGAGAGAGAGAGAGAGAGAGAGAGAGAGAGAGAGAGAGAGAGAGAGAGAGAGAGAGAGAGAGAGAGAGAGAGAGAGAGAGAGAGAGAGAGAGAGAGAGAGAGAGAGAGAGAGAGAGAGAGAGAGAGAGAGAGAGAGAGAGAGAGAGAGAGAGAGAGAGAGAGAGAGAGAGAGAGAGAGAGAGAGAGAGAGAGAGAGAGAGAGAGAGAGAGAGAGAGAGAGAGAGAGAGAGAGAGAGAGAGAGAGAGAGAGAGAGAGAGAGAGAGAGAGAGAGAGAGAGAGAGAGAGAGAGAGAGAGAGAGAGAGAGAGAGAGAGAGAGAGAGAGAGAGAGAGAGAGAGAGAGAGAGAGAGAGAGAGAGAGAGAGAGAGAGAGAGAGAGAGAGAGAGAGAGAGAGAGAGAGAGAGAGAGAGAGAGAGAGAGAGAGAGAGAGAGAGAGAGAGAGAGAGAGAGAGAGAGAGAGAGAGAGAGAGAGAGAGAGAGAGAGAGAGAGAGAGAGAGAGAGAGAGAGAGAGAGAGAGAGAGAGAGAGAGAGAGAGAGAGAGAGAGAGAGAGAGAGAGAGAGAGAGAGAGAGAGAGAGAGAGAGAGAGAGAGAGAGAGAGAGAGAGAGAGAGAGAGAGAGAGAGAGAGAGAGAGAGAGAGAGAGAGAGAGAGAGAGAGAGAGAGAGAGAGAGAGAGAGAGAGAGAGAGAGAGAGAGAGAGAGAGAGAGAGAGAGAGAGAGAGAGAGAGAGAGAGAGAGAGAGAGAGAGAGAGAGAGAGAGAGAGAGAGAGAGAGAGAGAGAGAGAGAGAGAGAGAGAGAGAGAGAGAGAGAGAGAGAGAGAGAGAGAGAGAGAGAGAGAGAGAGAGAGAGAGAGAGAGAGAGAGAGAGAGAGAGAGAGAGAGAGAGAGAGAGAGAGAGAGAGAGAGAGAGAGAGAGAGAGAGAGAGAGAGAGAGAGAGAGAGAGAGAGAGAGAGAGAGAGAGAGAGAGAGAGAGAGAGAGAGAGAGAGAGAGAGAGAGAGAG